AATGGCTATTAACAATAAACCAGCAAACAAATGTTAAGGATGTGAAGAAAACAGAACCCTCATGCACTGTTGGAGGGAATGCAGATTGGTGCAGCCACTGTGGAAAGCAGTATGGAATTACCTCAAACAAACAAACAAACAAAAAACAACAACAAACACCAGAAAATGGACCTGCCTTATAACCCAGCAATTCCACTTCAGGGAATTTAGCTGAAGAACCCTGAAATAGTAATTCAAAGGAATATAGGCACCCCTATGTTCATTGCAGCATTGTTTACAATAGCCAAGATTTGGAAGCCGGCCAAGTGCCCATCAGTAGATGAGTGGATAACAGAGGCTATTTATCCAATAGAATGCTGCTTGGCCATAAAAAAGAAAAAAATCATACCCTTTGTGACAGCATGGATGAACCTGGAGAGCATTATGCTAAGTGAAATAAGCCAGCCAGAGAAAGGCAAGTACCATATAATTTCCCTCATATGTGGAATTTAGTGAACAAAATGAACTAACAAGCAAAATAGAAATAGACTCATAGAGGACAGGCTGACACCTGTCAGGTCAGGCAGATGGTGGAGGGATGGAGCAAAAGAGGGAAAAAAAAAGGATAAAATTCATGGACTTGGACAACAATGTGGTAATTGCTGGGGGGAGGAGGTAAGGGGGAGGTGAGGGGGCATGAGGAGATAAATGATGATGGACAGAGAACTGACTTGAGGTGGCGAGCACACAGTTCAGTGTACAGATGATATGCTGTAGAACTGTGCACCTGAAACTGTATAATTTTGTTAAACATTGTCACTCCAATAAGTTCAAAATATAAAAATGAAACTAAGGCTATCATATTACTTCTAAGACACTCAAGGACACTTCTCCTCAGGTCACTTGGTTTTACTTTAAGCCTTCCGGATATGTATGTCATTCATTTTTCCACAAATATTTTAAAAGTATAAATAAAAAATTCCTGCTCTCAAAAAGTATGCATTGTATTATTTTCTACTGGTTTCAAACTACTATTGCTACAAATCAACTGCCTGGGAGACTATGATCCCTGAGATGTTAATAGGTATTCTTCAGAAGAAAAGAAGGGAACATCAGTCAACAATAAAAATAAAGTTTAAAAATAAAATAAGATGTCACCCCCCCCCAAAGAAAAAAAGAAAGGTGTGTTTTTTCACAGGTGTCTGATTAAACACACTTGTTTAAGATTTCCCATTGCAAACATTAAATCTCAAAAAAATAACTACAGGCAGATTTGTCCAAAATTATTTGAAAATAGGATACTTGTTTTAGTAAATAGCTGTTAACACATTGGAAACTCTGGGATAAAAAAGCCATTCCCACTACAACACAGTTGGAAAAAAAATGTTTGGTAGTATGAAAAGTCGGTAGACTTTGAATCAGAAGGTGTAGTTCTAATTCCACTATAAATGCTAGTTTCTCATCAATAAATAGGAATTAAAATATCTGTACTCCCACTTTACAGACTGTAGTAAAATCAGATAGGATAAATGTATCAGCACATGTTTTTTAAACTTTTAAAACTAGTAAATGAATAAGTCCTAAAGATCTAATGTGCACTATAGTAATTATAGACAACAATGCTGTATTACAAGCACCAAACATCCTGAGATGAGATCTAATTATTCCCACCACAAAAGAAATTATAATTATGTGGCTTGGTTGAGGTCTTAGCTAAGGCTACAATGACATTCATATTGCAGTATATAAATGAATCAAATCAACACACTGTACACCTTAAACTTACACAATATTATAAGTCAAATATATTTCAATTCAAAATCAATTAGTCTTGTAAAAACTATAGGATGCAAACAATTACATGGAGTCAGCATTTAGCATCTCTCAGTCTGAGTACTGAAAGCTAGCTTGATAGTAAGAACCCATTTATGTCAAAACAGCAAATGAATATATTATTTTGGAACATTAGCATTTTATTCTCTTATTACTACCTTGAAGTGTAATTTATTTTGCCTAAATTAAAATAAAAACATAAAATAAATCCAAGATTTATCATAATTTTCAAGATTAAATCTTCTATTATGGTAACTAGAGTGGTTAGGATTTCTTAAGTCTCTTTGCCTTGTTCAAAAGTCTGAGCTTCCTCATTTCTAAAACAGAGGACAATTCTGCCTATGACATAGATTTGTTGTAGGAATTAAGTTAGATAATAGATATAATAGGCTTAGTAAAATACCTGGCACATATTTGATGCCCCAACTGTCAATGAGATTGATTAATCAACATATAGTTCTTAATTTTAAAAATCATATTAAGAATTCTATGGCCAAAAGCTGTGAATTTAATTTGGTTTTCCTCCACTATAAAATAAGCTAATGAGCTGGCAAAAACTGAGCCCAGTCTAGGTAAAAAAGAAAGAGAAATAAAAGGTCACAGTGTATTATACAATTGTACACTTGTAACTCATATAATGTCATAAACCAATGTCACTCCATAAATTTAATTTTTTAAAAAGTCATAGATTTGCATCCTTCTTCACTTGTAAGCATATGGTATTATACCATGATATTATTTTTGCAAAGTGCATTGTCTCTAACTCTGTAGGTGATAGTGAACACTGATCGTGCTGAGCAGAGGGAGGCAACAGTTCTTTCAAGGACTTCCTCGGGCTGAGCTGTCCAGGAGCCAGCAGCTGTTCCTGTGTGGCATCATTGGTGGCAAAGGCCAAACTCTACTCTTTGCCAGAAGCAAGCCTTATGTGGATGGAAGGCAATTCCCTCCCCCCAGTTGGATTAAGGCCAGCTCCTCACTAGCCCCACCCCTTCTCTTCTGAAACCATTTCTATGATAGAGCTGCAGAGGAGATGACCAAACTGGGTGGTTCTTCTCTTTATGTTGCCACAATGTATTAAGCTTTTTCTTGCCACTCAGTTCTTTCATATTAATCTGAAATATAATACACAATGATTTGCTCATTTGGAAAGGTCTACTTGCTTTATATCCCTGCTACTTTAGGAAAGTATTCTACATAAATACATGCTTCATACACAGCTGTCATTACACAGTTAATAATGTCTACACCTCTGTGACCATCCTGTATTCCTGTGGCAAGTCTAGAAGTCTTAAGAAGACTCATTCAGCACCATGACCTTTGCAGAAGTCATATGGGGTCAGAGCACACTGTAGCAGTTCCACTGCTTTCCAGTTATTCCATTAATAGCTACTGAAAATAGAGGAAAGGCACTTGGACCAAAATGCCAATCCTGTCAACTACTCCAAACCACTGGACTCATTGCTACTTCACGATAACCTGCCTTGAACCATCCAACTCAAAATAAAATAATTTTTTAAAATACTATGCTGCTTTTAAAATGCCAGGTAATGATAGGGGTGGGGGGAAAGGGAAGAAGAGAGAAAGAATTCTTTTATTATTTATGTGTGGCTTGTCATCTATATTCTAGTTTAGAGTTTAGGTTAGGTCACTGGAATTTTAGCCATATTTTTGTTTTATTTCAATTTTGGATTGGGCCACTGCAGCACAAAAGAGAAACATCTAAAATAAAATCCAATTAGAAAATCACCATCATTAGGATTCATTCAGTTGCTTTTAGAAGCCATTGCATCATAGCCCAAATGCTATAAAGTCATTCTCATTCATCCCCTCATTTAGGTATTTCTTCAACTGATCATTCAGAATACTGGGTTAACCAGAGTTTGAATGGGCCATTCCTAGGAACAGGAGGAGAGAACAACCTCTGGAATCAATCTGAGATTGCATCCCAGCCCCACCACTCACTTGGTGCAACAGTGAGTTATTTAATTGTCTATGCTTCACCTTCCTCATTTAGGAAATGGGAATATTAATATGGCATCCATGCTAAAATTGTTGTAATTGTTAGAAGAGACAAAATATGCAATATTATTCGAACACAAAGTAAGTGCAACAAGCCTCTAGTATTAAATAAAGATAGCTAGTCTTTATTCATGAATTCATGCATGGATGGGGTCCCTCGGCCTGGCCAGCAACTGGGGCCTATCATGGCCATCTAGTCCAGTCCAGGGCAGGGGAGGGACCAAGGGAGGTTGGCCAGCCGCAGGAGGTTGGAGGTGGGAGCACACTGATCCATGGGGGCAGCTCCTGCACTGAGCATCTGCCCCCTGGTGGTCAGTGCGCATCATAGCTACTGGCCGGTCAATAGGTCGTTTGGTCGACCAGTCATAATGGTTGCTTAGGCTTTTATATATATAGGTAAATGTAGTAAGCACTTTTATATACACAGCAGTTTGTTAGGGACTAAGGACACAACATGTGTCTTCATGGAGTTATTCTAGTAAGATAAAGGAGACATGCATGTGAACAAGTTTAGCAGCAAGCTGGCCATGATTATTGTCATACAAGAAATACAGAAAAGGTGCTATGGAGAGGTTATTACATCCAGCTAAGAAAGTCACAGGAGGATTCTAAATTGGTTTCACATTAGAAGAGTCAAAAGAGGTGAACAGGTTCTGGACAACTAGCATTTGACATCTGGGGTGAAATGTTCCAGGAACAATATAAGTAATGAGGGTATCGAGGTAAGATACATCAAGTGGATAAATGGAAAGGACTTTGGAGCCAGGTCATAGAAGAAGCCATGCTCAGAGCTGTGTGCATTTAGCCATTTCCAAAGGAAAGCTACTGCAGTCATGGCAAAATCAGAATTATCTTTATTACTGATTTATCTAAATTAGCTTGGTACGCCGAAACCGGTTTGGCTCAGTGGATAGAGCGTCGGCCTGCGGACTGAAAGGTCCCAGGTTCGATTCCGGTCAAGGGCATGTACCTGGGTTGCGGGCACATCCCCAGTGGGAGATGTGCAGGAGGCAGCTGATCGATGTCTCTCTCTCATCGATGTTTCTAACTCTCTATCTCTCTCCCTTCCTCTCTGTAAAAAAAAAAATAAATAAATAAATAAAATAAATAAATAAATAAATAAATTAGCTTGGTAGATCCAGAAATACCATGTAGGCAGGACATGGAATTAATTCCTGTGCCATCTAAAGTTTCATGTACCTTAAAAATTGTCATATTAGAAGGCTTAATGGGACAACAAAATTCAGAATATATTTAATTTGCCAGGTCTTGGAAGGAAGACAAACTATTAACTAATTATCACTTTGAGAAGCAACCAGAGCTTGAATAAGCCATTCCTGGGAATAGGATGAGAAAGGAAGAAAAGTACACAAGAAAATTAAGAAGTCTTCTTCCACTCAAATCCCAGCAGTAAATGAAGTCCTCTTATGACTTCCATGTTATTGCTTCACTACTAAAAAACCATGTTGTGATTAATAAGCTAGTGAAAGGTCTCTTTTCCTTATTTAACCTAATTCATGGTGCTCAGATTCTCAGATGTGCTAGATATTGTCCACAGGTATTTGTATCCACACTAAGAGAAAAATTAGTTTCAGAGAAGTGGACAGGTAGACAGTGGTGCTAAAAGAAAGAAAATGAGCAAAGATAATGTCCAAGGATAAATAAAATTAACCAAAAAATGTTTCAGGTTAAAAGTTTCAGTCATTTTTAAGCTTCATGGATGCAGACACTATTAAAGAAAGAATGAAAACTGTAAAATTATTCTTGTGACTTTCAAAACTAAGTTTTAATATCTGTTATACAATATTTATAACTCAATTCTGCTAAGTTTCAACTAGGCATCTTTTCAACTGTGATATATACTTTATATTACTAGGAACAAAGATGGCTGGAGTATTACTTACATGCTCTGTTGTTAGTGCGGCACACGGGTGAAAATGATCAAAGTAAATGTCATTATGTTTTACCGAACATATATGCTTCTCTAAGTCATTGTATCTCTCTCCATAGAGCACTAAAAATGAAGAGCGAGAATTTCCAAATGAATAAACACACGACTGAGATAATTTTAAAGTACAAAATAAAACTCCTATGGATGTATCCAACATACCAAGTCTAACTTTATATGATTGCTTCATTTGAAAGTGGTCTTTGTAAAAATTGGCACGATAGCCGGCATTTCTTTTAGCAGCAGTGTTCTTTTCTATTATATTGTCTGCTTGTTTCCAGTACCGTTTTATCGATTGTAGCCACCTTAAAAATAAGTTTACATATTATTTAGGCATAACATGAAACTACTTGTGATACAATATTTTTTTTAAATATATTTTATTGATTTTTTACAGAGAGGAAGGGAGAGAGATAGAGAGTTAGAAACATCGATGAGAGAGAAACATCAACCAGCTGCCTCCTGCACATCTCCCACTGGGGATGTGCCCGCAACCCAGGTACATGCCCTTGACCGGAATCGAACCTGGGACCTTTCAGTCCGCAGGTCGACGCTCTAGCCACTGAGCCAAACCGGTTTTGGCTACAATATTTTTAATAACAAAAATGTCATGTGCCTTAAAAATTGGACTTAAGGGAATAATAGGCCCTGAAACCTGACACATTGAGATTGAATCCCAACCTCCTTACTACTGGCTATGGCTCTTGTTATATCACTTAATATCTCTAAGCCTCATTTCCTACATTTTAAAATGGAAATAATAATAGTAGCATTGGGCCCAGCTGGCATGGCTCAGTGATTGAATGTTGACCTATGAACCAAGAGGTCACAGCTCAATTCCCAGTCAGGGCACATGCCCGGATTGCAGGCTCAATCCCAAGTGTGGGGCACGTAGGAGGCAACCAATCAATGTTTCTCCCTCATCATTGATGTTTCTATCTCTCTCTCTCCCTCTCCCTTTTCCTCTGAAATCAATAAAAATTAAAATATGTATATATATATTAGTGCTGAAATTCTAAATTCTATTTAATAGTAATAATGGAAGTAGTAAATCATAAGGGTTGTTGGCATTTAAAATAAATTGACACATGCAAAGCACTTAGAACAGTACCTGGTACATTGGAGTCTTTACTCTAATTGTTATTATTAGTGGCCAAAAATATAGCCCAATGACAAAATGATATGGGGCTTTCAACTAAGAAGGCTTTGCTATCTTTCTAAACATCCACAAAGTGAGACAATATAATAAATCTCAAGGTCAATGAGAGAGTGTGTCATTATTCCATTTTAATTTTGGTAAAGGAAAAAAACAGGGGACCTAAATCAGTTACTTCTGGGGAACATTTTTGAGGCACAGGGAAATTTCTTACTCAATTGCAGATCTTATTGGGAGAGTCCTTGATTTTTCCCTTATAGAGTGTGGCCTTGCTCAGCACCTGCCAGGAGGTGCTAGTAGACTCTTTCCTTGAATATCCACAGATAAGCTAACAAATTCACCAGAAAGTTATGAAACATTTCAGAACCCATATAGAAAATATGATATTTAAACGTTCAAAATAGATAGCCATTCTATTCAAACGGGAACCTAATGCCTACTCAGTGAGATGTGCAGGGTTGCTTATTGTAGCCGAAAGAGCCAGAAAGGGACATCGAATCATGACAAGGAGATGTTCCCAAACTTCTGCTCCAATCTCTCCACCAAGACAATGGACCTATTAAAGACAAAAATTTCTCCATTAAAAAGTTCATTTAAAAACAGTTTATGAAAATAAGGCATGACAGGCTGATTCCCTACATAGTTTCCTATCACATTTCATCAACCATGCTAAATTTATATACATATTGGGGAATTCAGGCAATAGAAAATCTTTACACATAAATTTTCCCTAATCCCCATAACCAATTCATCAATAATTCCTCTTTATCTTACCTTCAGAAATTTATTTGGTATTATACATTTCTCCCCATGCCTACAACCAACCAAGTCACCATCACTCCTCAGCTGCACTACCACACTATCCTCCTGACTGCCTTACTAGCTTCCCCCTTCGTGCCCCTACATTCTTCACACCACAGACAAAATGATGTGTCTAAAAGATAAGTGAGTTAGGCCCTGTCCCTAATTGACTTCCATCAATATCTTCCCATTACATACGGAACAAAATATAAATAAAGTCCTTAACAAGGTGTATAATGCCAAGCATACTTGGGCCCCGGCTTGCCTCTTGAGCTTCATCTCAAGCCACTCTCCCATCTTATGCCAAATTTGCTCCAGACATACTATCCTGTTCTTTATTCCTTGACCAGAACGTCCCTACTCTAGGGCTCTCACATATATTGCTCTTTCTGCTTAAAATGCTCTTATTCCCTCTATTCAACCTGTATAAAGTTCAGCTTGATGTCACTATATTAGAAAGACTTTTCTGACTGCCCACTCCAGAGCTGTCCTCCTACCCGCTCCCTGCCATTATCACAATCACAACAGCCCCTCTTTCTCTTCCCAACGTGTACCAATATGGGTTGGTATAGTCATCTGTGCGCTTAACTGTTTAATTCCCATTTGTCAATTACTCTCATGACTTTAGACGGGGGCATCCCCAGCACCAAATAGTGCCTGGCATTGTGGAGGCACTCCTTAAATATTTGCTGAATATGTAAATGAATGTCTTTTGACCAAATAAAACAAATTCAACTAGACTCAGTGAAGATTCTCAAACCTTGAACAGATAAAATCAACTGGAAAGGACTCACCCTCAGAGCCACATAATTTTTTTAAAAAGTTGCCATTTTTGCCCATTTGGTTTTTCCCTGGTCAAATAATATATCATTTTGCTGAATATGAACTTTGTGCTTTGTACTAAATAGCACATTTTCCTGACCCTACCAGAATATTAGCCTTCAAAACTTTTCAGCTTTACCCTTATATAAAAATGTCATATTTCATAGCTTTGAGGTTAAAGTACAACTCAAGGTTCTAGATTACAAAGATAAAATTTTTGTACGTTTTCTGAGCAGGGATACTCAAGGTCTTTAAGATGCAACACATATAGATTAACCAAAAATCAGTGTCAAATAAATCATAAGCACAGCCTGCTTGGTAGCTCCAAATTTATGAGAGGAAAAGTTAAGTTAAATATAGATATATTTTCCCCCTTTAAATTGAAATTTCCTTGAAGCAATGGAATATATCTTTTATAATGTTTTAAGTTTCATCCTAGTTGGTGTTGCGCAGTGGTTAGAGTACTGGCTCACACACCAAAGGCTCCTGAGTTCGATTCCTGGTCAAGGGCATGTACCTGGGTTGCAGGTTTGACCCCCAGCAGAACTGGAACAGGTGCCTGTGGGAGCAACCAATCTATCTGTCTCTGTCACATCGATGTTTTTCTCTCTCTATCCCCCTTCTCTCTCTCCCTCCCTCCCACTCTCTCTAACAACCAATTAAAAAAATATCCGTGGGTGAGGATTAACAAAAAGATAAATATACATAATGTGTTAAGTTTCTTTGAATAAATATTTCTTTTTAAAAAATATTTTTATTGATTTCAGAGAGGAAGAAAGAAGGAGAGAGAGAGAAACACCAATGATGAGAGAGAACCAATGATCAGCTGCCTCCTGCACACCCCCTGCTGGGGATTGAGCCCACAACCTGGGCATGTGCCCTTGATCAGAACTGAACCTGGGACCCTTCAGTCCGCAGGTCGAAGCTCTCTCCACTGAACCAAACCAGCCAGCGCTGAATAAATATATCTAATAATAATACTATAAAATTTTTTTTAAATATTTTCTATTTGCCCCTGTAAATTTCCATTGTTTCCTACCATGCTCTCTCTGGAAACCTACAGAGACTACTTCAAAAGGGTTCTTTACTTCCATTGTATTTAGCCAATGAAGACCCTTGGCAAGTGGTCAGAAGAAGGGAGGAGAATAAGAATGAGGTCTTCATTCTATTGGCTCCCTTCCTGAAAGATTACCTTGAGCCAACTGTATCCCTCAGCTAAGGTAATTGGTCCTTACATGTGGCCAACTCAATCCGAATCTCCTTTTCAGTCTCAGTAACTGCTGCTTTGCCTTGTCCGTTTATTTTTTTATTTTTTTAATATATTTTATTGATTTTTACAGAGAGGAAGGGAGAGGGATAGAGAGTTAGAAACATCGATGAGAGAGAAACATTGATCAGCTGCCTCCTGCACGCCTCCTACTGGGGATGTGCCTGCAACCAAGGTATATGCCCTTGACTGGGACCCTTCAGTCTGCAAGCTGGTGCTCTATCCAGTGAGCCAAACCAGCTAGGGCTGCCTTGTCCTTTTAAATCTAGGGGTAAGCTACTAGCTCTGAATGACTGTACTAATCTTATTTGTTCCCTCATGTACACCTTTGGAAAATACTCTTCTTGAATTATATTTTAAGTGTGCCACCTGTTTTCAGTTGGGACCATGACTGATAAGGTAGCATATAAGTAGCAACATTGTTAGAGGCCAACTTCTTTGCTTTAGGGATTAAAAATTGAATGTTGACATCTCTGTCCAAAATTTATGCAATGGTGGTTATTTCTGCTCCTCTGAAATAGTAGTCACCAATGACAGGTTCCTCTCCCATACAGAGCTCTGCAGCATATACCAATATACCCTATTGAGTTACAACAGGAAAATGGAGCCAAAAGATTGGTTATGATTCACTAGGAAAACCATTCAGAAGGAAGTGCATGTAGACAAAGGGACAAATATCCTAAGTATCAGAGATCTTCATTATACCTGTATGCTGTTGTACACTAGGAAATTAACCCAGAAAAATAATTCCAAACCTACCTCATCAAATATAACATATCTGATCCTTTTCACCCATCTTTGGCGATGAGGAGCTAACAGCAGAATTTCAAGGCAGGCAGGCACTGTAACAAGTACCTAAAAGTAAGAACATTGCATAAACAAACATTTAGAGCATTTCCTATGTATATACATAGCTATAAATATATAAAAGATAGAGTTATAACTCCTGAATGTACCAGCTGATAAATAGGATATTGCTTCTGAGTGTTGGAGTAAAACTGTGATATATTAGTTGGAACCTTAGGAAATTGCAATTTTACAGGTCAAACTGGTAAAATATCAGATTTTAAATTCAAATTCTTACTTATGAGTAGTCAAAGTCATAAAATAGAAAGTTAATTGTCACATGTCTGTTTCCTCAAAATCTGACCCTAATACACAGTTTAGGATGAAAAAATGTTTATGAAGAACCAACAACTATGGAAGTGGGAGGAAGGGGGACGGGGGAGAGGGAGAAGCTAAACTTTCAAAACAGGCATGATGAAATCTTAACCAACCTGGCTCAGAGTTCTGGAGTGAATATTGGCTGTCAGAGCAGTTCTACAGGAAGCCAAAATGGCCTGGTGTTTACTAGTATACCCCTGCCTAGCTCACTCACAGATATGAACTATGGAGGCAGAATTGGGGGAACTGACAGCTAGCATTTGTTTTGAACACAATCCCCCATCTGGACAGCAAGTCCTTCCTTAAAAGGTGATCTGGGTAACACATATCCATTTCTGCCATGCAATGTTCTATAATCATGTTTTCACTTTTTGTTTAGTCTAGGTTGTTTATCTATGAGTTCAATAAATCAGAAACAAAATGTCTATGATTTGCTTAACACCCAATTTTTTATCCATAATACAACATTTAAAAAATTACAATGAGCACTAGCAGGTTTAGCTCAGGGGATAGAGCATCAGCCCTCAGACTGAAGGGTCCCAAATTCAATTCTGGTCAAGGGCATACCTCTGTTGCAGGTTCCATTCCCAGCCCTGGTCGAGGAGCATGCGGGAGGCAACCAGTGGATGTGTCTCTCTCACATCCATGTCTCTGTCTCTCACCCTCCCTTCCACTCTCTCTAAAAAATCAATGGAAAAATATCCTCAGGTAAGGATTAACAACAACAAAAATTACAATAAGTACCTACTCATCAAGAAAAGTAAGAGAACCCTACTTACCAAGAAAAAGTAATTCTAACTGGAAATTGGTGTTGGTTAATTTTTTATAACATTGGTTCTTCAAATCATTTTGAATTAAGTTATAAACCAAGATGATGCAATGAACTATAACTAAAATCTGAAATCAAAATGTAAGTGTCCTCCTATTATCCTCTCTTTGGATTATAACAATATTAAATTTTCCCTAGAGCTATTTCACCTTGTATATTCAACTGAATTATTTCCATAAGGCCTTGTGAATTTCTAGTGAAAAAGACATATAAGTACTATTATATAATTTGAGAACAAAAGCATTAATTAATATGTCCTACCTGACAGTTTAGGGCATCATGACGATATTCCCTTGTAAAAATACCACATAGAGTTTCACCATTAGGCAGATTTTTCATGTAACGATTCTGAACAGTTGCTGCCACTTGATTAACAAGGGCCTAGTTGACAAGGACAGAGATTCATTACTTAAAGTACAGGTAAAACAGGTAACAATAGGAACTGTATAAAAATATGTCCCGCTATGAGTGCAGGAAGCTTAATAACTGCTTATTTTTTACTCGTCTACTCTAAATACACTAGTGTGCTTTTTTTGAGATACTTTACTAAACATGTGAACCTCACGGATAAACCCCAACATAAAGTAAAATGGGGAAAAATGGCTTCATCAGAAGGAAAAAATAAAGAGGAAATGTTGCTCAGACATCAGGAAGAAAAAAACACACACACAAAAATCAGCTAATATCTGAATGGCCAAGATTTAGAGACAATTGTGAGGCTGCTATAGGGAAAAGGTCAAGTGAGGGATAGTCAAGGTAACTTTGTGGTTTTTATATTTGGGGATTTCCCCCAGACATGTTAAGTTTGAATATAAACATGAATAAGTAGACCCATGCTCTGGATCAACCATGTAGCCTGGTCAGTAGAATCTGAGTGTGTGGAAACCTATGAACATCTTTCTATTTCACCCTTTACACCAAAAAACAAAATTACACATAGATTAACCTGTAAATTTTAAAACATAAGCATAAAAATAATAGAAAACAAGAACTTCATATATTTTGTATGCTTGAGCACACATGAAAAAGCTAAATGAAAATATTGATAGATATGACTATACAAAAATATTAACAAAATATCGTTATCATTAATGTAACCATAATATAATAAAAAGACAAAATGACAAATAAAAGTATATTTATTATAATCTAAAGAGAAATAGTATACTAACTATACAAAATTCTGATCCTATATAATAAAAGCTTAATATGCAAATAGACTGAATGGCAGAATGACTGGTTGGCAGGGGGCAGGGCCAGCGAGTGGGAGGAGCCAGGCCAGCCAAGGCAGGTGCCAGCAGGCAGATGGGGGGGACAGCGATCAGGGGGCAGCGGCGACCAGCAGCGGTGGAGGGATGCTGGGGGGGCAGGGCCAGAGCTGCCCCCTGGTGGTCAGTGTGCTCCCACAGGGATGTCCGCGGGGAGGGGCCTAAGCCATCAGTGGGACACCTTGAGGGCTCCCAGACTGCGAGAGGGTGAAGGCTGGGCTGAGAGAATCCCCCTAGTGCACAAATTTTTGTGCACCGGGATTATAGTAAATTAATAAAAAGACATTACCTTTCCTGCCAAAAAAAAGAAAAATGGGCAAATACATTTACAATTGGTTTATGAATAAAGAAATTTCAATACCTCCAAATCACACATAAAGATGCCCAAATCACAAAAATCCAAATTGAAATATGAGATAAAAGTTTTCATCTATCAGTATGGCAAAAACTTTTTAAATGATTAAAAGACAAGAGAATGTGTACTACTATATATTGCCAGTGGGAATAAAAATAGAGATTTAAACTTTTTGAAGAGTACCAATTCCACTTCTAGTCAGTTTAACTTTTCTTTTATATATATATAAATATATTTTTATTGATTTCAGGGAGGGAGAGTGAGATAGAAACATCAATGATAAGAGAGAATCATTAATCGGTTGTCTCCTGCAAGCCCCTTATTGGGGATCAAGCCCACAAACCCTGGCATGTGCCCTGATCAGGAATAGAACTATGATCTCCTGGTTTATAGGTTAACACTCAGCCACTGAGCCATACTGGCTGGGCCAGCTTAATTTTTCTTGATATGTTGTATTACATTCCAACAATGAATACTTACTGTTTTCATAAACATGAAAAACAAAAAGCTACAAAAAATAATGAAGTGCTAATCCCAGCCAGGTGACTAACTTGGTTGAAGCATCATTATGTCCACCAAAAGGTTGCAGGTTTGATTACCAATCAGGACATATATCTAGGTTGTCAGTTTCATTCCCATTTGGGGCACGTGTGGAAGGCAACTGATCAATCTATCTCACATCAATGTTTCTCTTTCTTCCTTTCTCTCTTCTCTCTTCTCTCTCCCCTTCTCAATCTCTCTCTCTCTCTCTCTCTCTCTCTCTCTCTCTCTCCTTCTCAAAACATAAAATTAAAAATTAAAAATCTAAAATGCTAATTTCAACTAATATATTGATTAATTTGAGGCTGACCACAAGTCACTCAATACTACACATTTTTCTAGAAAATAAAAGTCTGAATTCACATTAATCCATAGAATTAAAGTTACCTCAATTAGATTTGCCTTTCTTAATTGTAATCATATTTAAAACAAAAGGTGGTGAATGAGGATATATAAACTTATACTTCCTATAAATAAAACCTCCTGCATGACAAAAATCATACCTTCTATTTTTAAGTTCAACATTATGAGTTCTAGACATAAAAGAAAAATGACAAAACAACCTGATGAGAAATGGGGCAGTCACTAAAGCCCAAATGCTGATTAAATACATCCCATAATTTCTGCAGAGGCACTAGTAGGTTCTTAAGTGACTCAACAGTGCCCAGCAAAGTATGGGTACTTCTCTCAATTCCAGCTGAATGACAAGATCACAAGACCAGACTTTTTCCTCATGATGGTTCTAAGGAAAGTACTATTTGATCTCCGAAACTAAAAAGAGAAAATGCAGGCTAAAATAAATTAAATCATGGAAACAGAGAACAGATTTAGTTGCCAGAGGCAGAGGTGGAGGCTGTATAAAATGGGTGAAGGTGGTCAAAAGGTACAAACTTTCAGATGAAAGATAAATAAGTCTTGGGGATGTAATGTACAGCATGGGGACTATCGTTAAAAATATTGTATTGTAAGTTAGAAAGTTGTTAAGAGAGAAGATCTTAAAAGTTTATATCATAAGAAAAATGTAACTATTTGAGATGATGGATGTTAACTAAACTTATTGCTATAATCATTTCACATTGTATACATATGTCAAATCATTATGTTGTACGTCAATTATCTATATATAGAAAAGCCAAGGTATTGAAACACCAAAACAAACAGAACGACCGTTTGCTTTGATGCACACTGCACCCCTATTACCCCTCAACCCTGATTGTGGGCGTGGCCAGCCAGCCAACCTCCCGGCCTGTCCCCTCAGCCTGCCCAGCCTGATCAGCCCCAATCGGGGTGGGTCAGCCAGACCCCACTCATGCACGAATTTGTGCACCAGGCCTCTAGTATATCAAAACTGGAAAATGAATAAATAAAAAGTGGAACAGATTTATCACATGACTACAGGTATTATTTTAAAAGAGGGGATTCAAGAATGAAAGAGCAAATTAAAGTCACTTGAGCACTACCTTTGTTGGTGCGACATACACAACCACCCCCTCATCGCTCTCCTTTAGCACTTTCTCCATGCAGTAGTAGGAAGCATAGGTTTTGCCTGAGGACGTTGGAGCAACAATCACAGCTGATTCATTATTATCCACAACATCAAGGAGCTCTCGCTGCAGGATTCAGAGCACCATTTGTGTCAATAATGTGAAGAGCAATTTATTAGCAATTTTATATTGTTCAGTCTATGAAGAAACACACCATGTCATTCCAAATTTTATACCCATTAATACTAATTTTACACCTATTTGTAGAAGAATAGCTATTATGGTAACAGATGAGGCATGTAAATATATAAGCACTTGTCTACACAGTTTAATGTGCCAAATTTCTCTGTGCACAATTTATAGATTTACATATTAAATCCTACTGATAAAGGGAAAACTTGGAGGCTGCTCCATAATGATACAACTGGATGACACACAACTTCAAAATATGCATGTGAACTCATCAGAGTACCTCCAAGGCAATGGTCTAGTAATAAAAAATGAACAAAATAAAAATTTCACTTTCTTTAGGTTGAAAAAAGTCTACACTTGACATTCCAATAACAAAATAATTTTAATGATATGACTCAATATTAAGAAGTTAATGACAAATATAATAGGTAGTGCCACAATAATGAAAAGATCCTCAGATCACATTTAATAATAAATACAAAGGCCTGTTTCATTCAGTCATTACCTGCCATGTGTCAGGAATAAAACCATGAACTCTGGGATCTGGATCTTTTCTCTCATCTCGTAGCAAATAATGGCCCATATATTGTAGTTGAAACCGAACAGGCCCAATGCCAATTGAATATTTATTCTTTTTCTTCTCCTTTATGCCATCTTCTGCAGCCTACATTATTTTAAAAGTTCATTTGAAAGTGATTTTAAATTATAACATCATTCAAATAATTCAAACATTTATTACTAACACATTTTATGAGAAAAAAATTTAACACTTTTTTAAATTTTGTAGTATCTTTGCTGAAGTATTTTAGTACCTACTCATCATCTTAACCATGAGTAAATTAGCAGACATCAAAGTTTTCAAAAACCCATGAAGATGTTTGCAGCTACAATCTAGTATAGGTGAAGACAATTGAAGAATCCCATTATACTGTTTAAATTTTTTGCTAGAATTAAACATAGGCTTATTTTTACAGGTCTGCATAGATTATCTGGCATTTAATGTTTGTCCGAACACTTGTACAAGCTTTTTAATTCCAGATTACTTCAAATTTGGGCAGCTAGGTTACTAATAATGATTATGAATTCAAAGTAAATATTTTCAGTTAAAAACACCTAGAAGAGGTGATTGTATTTGCAAGACCCTTTATATATACCTAATAATTATTCTATTAAAATGGAACTATTCTGAAAACATTACCTCAGTTGGATTTAAAGAACTTGCCAACTCGTCAAATCCTAAATACTTAAGGCATCTGGCTATGAGTTGCCGATCTGCCTCTTGCAAAAATTCTGGGTGTTTTTCCATCAAGGAGTGGATCCTTTTCATCATTTGAACAGCTATACTTAAATCTTTTGCGGTTTCACCTTGGCAAAGAACAACACAGTTGTTATAAAGACCACCAAAAACAATGAATTTATGTTATCCGAGAGTAGTCATCCAGGCTATCAATTTGACCTAATTAAATTCACTATGGTTTTGGAACACAAAATACTAAATAAAATAATATTAAAGTGCAACTATACACACGTCATCATCTCTATGGACAAAGTTGAAGAAAAAGAAAAATCTTATAGTTCATGATAGAAATAAGGTCATTAAAGCTCAAATTTGTGCAAGTTCTGGGGAAGAACAAATGTTTTCTCCACCTATTAGTTTCACACCTTCTCTACTGTGTTCAAAGAAAAATTATTAGGATGACTTTAAATACCCAGTTAAAAACTTAGCAACATTTAAGGTCTACTCTTGGCCACAAATAAGTATTTGGCACAATCAATGGAGCCTCTCAATTCAATCAGCCTAATACACTTGCCAGAACAGACTTTGCTAATTCCCCTTCATTGCTTTATAACAGTGATGGCAAACATTTTGAGCTCGGCGTGTCAGCATTTTGAAAAACCCTAACTTAACTCTGGTGCCATGT